TTTCGTTGTTTTGAACTTTGAATGCAAAATCAAAAAGTGTGGGTGTTTGTAATAAAAACTGATATTTAAACATAGGTCAACCTAATCAGTGATCTTGATATGTGAATAGAAACAATAATGACGTGTAACTACCCATTGAGCTTTAGCAGTTATCGAAGAAGTTTGTAACATCCCAAAATATCAAGAGTAGAGTTGAAGGGCTAAAAGAGTAAATTGAAAAAGGGAACTCGGCGAGTCCATGGGTAGACTCGGCAAGTAGGGTCGCGATTTGGTCGCGTGTTAAGTGGCCGACTCGGTGAGTCCAAGGCTGGACTCGGCGAGTAGGCGCTGAGTGGAGAAAACCCTAATTCTCGGGGTTGAGCCCTATATAAAGAACTTAACATCCATTCCCCCAGCCTCTTTACTCATCCTCAAGTCTAGAAACCCTTAGTATTCGTGTGTGAGTGGATCAAAGTGCATTTGGGAGCTTGAAGGGTATTTGTTGAAGGAATCTTGGGAGTTTGGAGGCTTGGAGCAAGGGGCTTTGCTTGGATTCGAGTTTCATTGCAGTTGGGGCGCTCTTTTGAGGTAATATCTCGTTCTTGGGCTGTTTCTCATATGGATTCATCATTTTGAGGTTTATGGGGAGCTTATCTTGGGATGTTTTAGAGTTTGGAGGTTAGATCTGAGGTTGCTACCTCAGATCTGGAATGGGGAAGGTCTAGAGTGCATTAAAGTCCCTGTGTTGAGTTCTTAGTGAAGCCATCATGTCCCAAACCCTAGCCCTAAAGTGTATAAGGCCTAGATCCTTTTGGATTCACGTAAAGTTTGCCACTTTACGTGATGGATGGGTTGTAGGAGGCTAGATCTATGTTTTGGATCAATTGCATGGCCTGAAATCTTTATGTATGGATTCAGACTGGTGGTACTCGGCGAGTCACATGGGTAGACTCGACGAGTTGCTTGAAGATGAGCTGGAACTCGACAAGTCGGATGAACAACTCGGCGAGTAGGTTGAAGATAGCCTTAGACTCGGTGAGTCTTGTCGAAGAGTCCCAACATTTTCTGGTTGAGTCGAGAATCGGTGAGTCAAGGGATGACTCGGTGAGTAGGGTGCGAGTGGACTCAGAGTTGTTGGACTCGGCGAGTCTCGGGGTGACTCGGCGAGTCAGGTCGCGGATTGAGGGAAGTTCTGAGCTTGGGGACTCGGCGAGTCATCGGGTTGACTCGGCGAGTAGAGTCAGTCAGGGGTTGACTTTGACCGTTGTCCAGAGTTGACTAGTTTGACTTTGTAGTGTTAGTCAGCCAGGGTCAAGGTGGTATTAAGTATAGATATGCTTGTTTTGTAGGAGGACGATAGCTCGAGAGATCGAACGCTAGTGATTCCGAGATACGCGAGGTGAGTCCTCTCACTATACGTTACCTTAAGTGGTATTTCGAGTTGACCAGAGGGTCTTATGAGCTATGTATGAGATTATGTGTTATATTAGAGATTTCGTGTTATGTGTTAATTGTAAGCGGTATGATTATATAGACCGGGCCGGAGGGTCCATCGATTCATACCGGGCCAGAGGGCCCAATGAGCTATGACTGGACCGGAGGGTCCGACGAGCTACGGGACTGGAGGGTCCCGCTGAGACATCTTGACCGGAGGGTCGGGTTCAGCCTTGAGTGGCGTATTTGTGATATGTGGTATTTTGGGGAACTCACTAAGCATTTATGCTTATAGTTGTTGTGTTTGATGTCTCAGGTACCAGCGAGGACCGTGGGAAGGCGACGACTTGACTTGTACACACCCACACCGATGGAGTTCATGCTAGAGAGATCTTGGGATTTGATTTCAAAACAATGTTGTTATGGATTTGAGATTATGATATGATATACATTTTGTGGTTTAAAAATGAAAAATTAAAATTGGAAATTTTACGTTGTTACAAAGTTGATCTGTAAACAAAAAAGTAATATGTATGAACCTTGCGTTGTATCAGGCTTTAAACAAAACTTAGCACACTTCCAGACCAGATAAAAGGTATAAGAAGCGGATGAGAGGAATTCAATACCTGATGCAACTGAGAGAACAGAGCAAAAACCTGTAAACAATAGAACATAAGAAGTCAGAAAGACAGAAAGGTATACAAACTCATGATAGAAAAAATCCATATACATAATTTCCAAAAAGGTGAAATTGAATTTCACATTAAATACCAACATCTGAAAAATGGGATTCCCTAATTGCCCCAGTGAAACTCGCCTTTTTTCCAATTACCTACTCATAAAAATTATTAAATAAAAATAAGCTTCAAAATAGAAGTTTCTTCTATGTAAACCTTACAGAAACCATGCACCAACCGATAATGGCTTTTTTGAAAATTTGTAGTAGCCTTCCATCGAACACCTGGACTGCGTTGCATTAGCAATGATAGGAAAACACTTACAACTTCAAACGAAACCTTCACGCATTCAACTAAACATAAAATATGACATAACGATTATACTAAAGCTTTAAAAAAAGACCAATACTCAGAATTAGAATATGCTTCATATATCTATTAAAATCAGGTTAAATTTACATAGAACTTGAGAAGAAATCTACCGGTCCTTATATATCATACTAACAATTAAATAAGAAAAGCTTTAGTGAGTCAACTGCAACGGAGTCAAAATCAACATCGCGTTGAGATCGATGCATCAGAGTAGGAGTTGGAGATTTGTTGGTCCATACCGATGGTAGCAGAAGAGGAGAATAACGAAACATAGAACAAAAAATCGTGTTTGTGATAGCTATAAACGGATACGAAGCATATGAGAAGAAGCATGGAGACGGTGACATCTGGTCTACATTCGTGTACGTATTTCATTAGATGGTCGATGTAAGAGGTGGAACTGGTGATTGGTATTAGAAGCCAGAAAAGAGAAACGAAGATGATCGGTGTGGTAAAGTCGAAAACGATGGATAGAGATTTTTGGAAGAATTAGATGAGGCGGTTCATCTGATGTGTTAATTTGTAATTGGTAGCAGTGGGAGGTGGGAGATGAACATATAACACGTACCAATGACGTATCACAGGTTGTCACAAAAGAAAACCCACTAAAAAAAAAAAAACAAAATTTGATTTTGGTCAAATCACAGCCAAGTACTGTTCATGAGGGAGTTCTAAATTAGTATGTATATATAATAAATATTAGTAAATGTTCAAATAAAATTATCTAGAATATCTAAAATATAAATAAATAAACATTGACATGCATAAATATACATTAGTATATATAAATAAAAATTAGTTGCATAATTTAAATGTTAGTATGCATAAATAAAAGTTAGTTGCATAATGTAAATCTTAGTATCCATAAAAATTAGAATATATAAAGAAATGTTAGTATAAGAAAAAAATTATTAATAGTCAATAATATCCATAGTGAATAAGTTTTATTAATTTATTAGTATTTTTAATATGATAGAGGTTTTTATAATTAATAATGTTTTTACTAAGTAACACGTACATTGATTAGGATAAATGTGATTTCCACATGTTTAATAACCCGGATTAGAGTTTTTGTGGTGATAACTTGTTATAAATTTGACATAATTAAAACAAGATTAATAAAACTAAACTAAGAACCTTAAGAAAGAAGAAGAAAGATTTGGAGAGAATTTGATCACTTATATCAAATATTCAAATTGATGTTTTTTACATATACAATAGTGTTATTTATACTAATTAAATCACTAAACATAATCAATGAGTTCTTACACATATTTAACATATTTGTTATAAGAGTTGAAAATAACTCTTATCATTTGACATTAAGGGCGTGTTTGGTACGGAGCTTTTGGAAGCGTTTGGGAACTTCTAGCTTTTAGCTTTTGACAAAACGCTCTAATTTAAACAAAAAGCTTCGTTTGGCAGTACGAGCGTTTAGCTTTTAGTTTTAACAAAACGCTTCGATTCTAAAAGCTACTTCATGTAGCTTTTAACAAAACGCTCCGGAGCTTTTGAAATCAATTTCCATAATTACCCTTAAAAATATATTTATATATATTTTTTATTTTTAATAAATTGTCCTTTTATGTAATTTTATATATTTCAAAAACTTCCAGCTACTTTTACCAAACATTCATATAACAAATAAAAGCTACAGCTTCCCGCTACCAGCTACCAGCTACACGCTACCAGCTACCCGCTACCAGCTAACCGCTACCCGCTTTCAGCTAACAACTACTTTTGCCAAACACACCCTAAGGGCGTCTTTGGCACGGAGCTTTTAGCTTTTAGCTTTTGACAAAACGCTTTAGTTTAAACAAAAAGTTTCGTTTGGTAGTACGAACGTTTAGCTTTTAGTTTAAACAAAACAATTCAAATCTAAAATCTACTTCATGTAGTGTTTAACAAAACGCTACTGCGCTTTTGAAATCAATTTCCATAATTACCCTTATATATATAATCAATTGTCAATTAATGTAATTTTATATATTTCAAAAGTTTCGGACTACTTTTACCAAACACTCATATAACAGTCCGTTCTAGTTTAATACAGTTTGAAAATTTTGAAACCGCATGCTAAACCGTTAATTACAGTTTTGAAAGTTTTCAAGCCACATGTCAAAACATAAAAAGAAATATAAACCATGAAACCAAACCGATATCCGATTTGACAAGTAATCTTTGGTAGGAAGAGGTGTCATCTCTATCTTCCATCATCCATTCCCTGTAATCAGTCCTAACGGTCATTTTAAAAATTGAAACTATATGATCAATTCCTATCAAACAAAAATAATAATAAAATAAGAAATAAACTTTTGATCTTTTTGTAAAAACAAGGGGGCCGTTTATTTAATTGTGTTGATTTTTTTATCATATTTGTCATTTTCTCTATATTAAAATCAAGATTAGATCCAACATTTTTAAAAGATATCGAAAAGTCTCATTGGCCAAAACAAGAGTCACTGTTGACTGCCGCTTTATCCACTCTTTAAAAGCCTCTTTACTCGGCCGATCATCACAACCACCACGACCCCTCCGATGTCGTCCACCATAACCACCACCATCATCCTCTTACTCTTCATCACTCTAATCAACATCCCAAAATCTCAATCACAATCTCCCAAATTTCCATGTCAACCACCACATCACAACTCCTACCCCTTCTGCAACACCGCCTTACCGATACCCACCAGAGCCCAATCCCTCCTCTCTCTCCTCTCTCTTTCCGACAAGATCAAACGCCTCTCCAACAACGACACCGGCATTCCCCGTCTCGGCATCCCTCCCTACGAGTGGTGGTCGGAATCTCTCCACGGCATCGCCTCTAATGGCCCCCGGTGTCACATTCGAAACCGGACCCATCCCCGCCGCCACCGGCTTCCCACAAGTCATTCTCACCACATCCTCTTTCAATCGGACGTTATGGTTTTCAATTGCTTCGGTTATCGCCGTCGAAGCAAGGGCAATGTACAACGTGGGTCAAGCCGGGTTGACTTTCTGGGCTCCGACGATTAACATTTTCCGAGACCCAAGATGGGGAAGAGGGGCAGGAAACCCCCGGCGAGGATCCAATGGTGGTGTCCGCTTACAGTGTTGAGTATGTGAGAGGGTTTCAGGGGCAGAAGACGACCGAAGATAGAAACAGGTATCACGATACGAAGAGAAGGGGTAGGAGGAGGGTGTTGTCAGGCGCCGACGACAACCACGGCGGAGACGGCGGCGGTGATGAGTTGATGGTGTCTGCTTGTTGTAAGCATTTCAGTGCGTATGATTTGGAATTTTGGGGGAATTACGCCAGATACAACTTCAACGCCATTGTAAGAATCCTTTCCGAATCCTGAAATCAACTAATTTGTTTCCAAGATCGAAACTTTAACAAATTCGAGAAAAAAAATGCTTGAAGTTCAAAACTGGGTAAACATTCAGGTAACAGAGCAGGATATGCAAGACACATATGAACCACCGTTTAGAAGTTGTATACAAAAGGCGAAAGCAAGTTGCTTAATGTGTTCATATAATGCAGTGAATGGAATCCCAGCTTGTGCTGATAAGAAGCTTTTACAAAAAGCTCGAACAGAATGGGGATTTAAAGGGTTCAAGATTCATCAAATTACATACTAAAAAGTTTCTAAATTTTAAATACAATTGATAAATGATAATAAAAACTTACAAGCTTTTGGTTTTATGCATAAACACAGATATATAACTTCAGATTGTGATGCTGTGGCTACTATATACGAATATCAAAACTACACTAAAAGCCCTGAAGATGCTGTGGCTATTGCTCTTAAAGCTGGTTTCTTTCTAACTTTCCACTTTCCCTTTTCTAATTTGTTATAAGGGTTTTGACCATTTTACCCTTATATTCCCTAAAACAAATTTCACAATATTAATCTATTAAGGGTGTTGCCGTTAAAAAACAAACATATTTTTTATTACATGCTGCAGCCGTTTGTTCCACCGAGGTGGTCCGCAGACTTCACACATTTTCTCTTCTAAGTGTTTAACGCATTAAGTAAAAAGAAATAGTCATTTGGGCTTAATGTATTTACTAGGATTTTAGGGTTTAGGGTAAAAGCTCTAAACCCTAAATTCTAAACTCTAAACCCTAAGCGCTAAACTATCTTAATGTGGCTTAGGGTTTAGCAGCGAACTTTTGTAGATTTTATTTACGTCTCACATGATGTTTACGGGACAGACAGTGTGAGCCAGTTGAGGGGTTGCTGAAAGAATAATTTTAACCGCTGACTGTTAAAAAAATCTTGGTGTAGGAACGGATATTAACTGTGGGACCTACATGTTGATACACACAAAGTCGGCAGTTGAAAAGGGGAAAGTGAAAGAAGAAGAAATCGACAAAGCTCTTCTCAATTTATTTAAAGTTCAACTTCGTTTAGGACTCTATGATGGGGACCCGATAAAAGGGAAATATGGAAAATTTGGACCTCAAGATGTTTGCACTTCAAATCATAAGAATCTTGCCCTTGAAGCAGCAAAACAAGGGATTGTACTTCTCAAGAATGATAACAATTTTTTACCTTTGAAAAAGAATCTTGTTTCATCGTTAGCTGTTATTGGTCCAATGGCAAATGCAACAAGCAAATTGGGCGGGGGATACATAGGTTTGAATTTCTTTAATTTGATCTTTATTTCAATAATTAGATTATTTTAAACCCCTAATAATCAGAATTTTTTGGCAAATTACTAAAAAAATGATATATTTTGGACAGTTTTGTAGTTTAACGAATAATGACTAATACTTCATTTCTTCCAATAAAAAAAACTATACGAGCTTTAAACATTTTTCCAAATTAGTAGCCATTTTGACTAAATAATATATTAGGTTAAAATGGCAAATTTGGAAAAAAGAAATAAAGTATAAATGGCTAAGCCATATTAGTGCTCAAAAATGGTCAAATTTGGGAAAAAGAAATAAAGTATAATTGGTAAATTGGGCTTTTTTTTTGGATTAAACCTCAACTTTAGTTTTTTTTTTCCTGAAAAATACCTTGTATTTTTTTTGAAAAAACCCTCAACTTTGTATTTTTCTTTCCGAAAAAACCCTCAACCCTCTAAATGCTTCCAAACAAACCCTTAACTTTGTTAGTTTTTCTTGAAAATATCCTCACATTTTACAATTTGTTTTTGGAAAAAAAAATGACTAAAAGGCTAGATCGGAAAAATTGAAAAAATACAAGGTATTTTTCAGGCAAAAAATAAATTCGAGATTTAATCCTGAACAAACACAAAATATAAGGTTTTTTTTTTTAGATTAACTCTTATTTTTACCCCTAATAATCAGCAAAATTGAATCAAATTTTTTTGGCAAATCACTAAAAACCGTTATATTTTGGGGAGATTTGTAGTTTAACCACCAATACTTCATTTCTTCCAATCAAACTATACAAGCTTCAAACATTTTCCAAATTAACCATTTTGACTTGATAATATTTCATGCCAAAATGGGTAAATTTAGGGAAAAAAAAGTATACGTGGCTAAACCACAAAATTGCCCAAAATAAAATATAATGGTTTTTCTGCAATTTTACTAGGAATTTGTCTCAAACTCTAAATATGAGCTCAATCTTTTTAAACATACCAACATTTTTCTAATGATTATAGCAATTAACCTAACATTATTACCTAATCACAACAATTAAATTATTATAATTCATGAATTGAATTCCTACTTACTTACAATTTAATTATTTTGAAATTTATATAGGAGTTCCATGTAGTCCAAAAAGCATAATCGATGGGTTTAAAAAATACATAAAGAAAACAAGTCATTCATCGGGATGTGTAGACGTCGCATGCGCTTCCAATTCAAAATTTCCGGAAGCAATTTCCATCTCAAAAGAAGCCGATTTTGTAATTATTGTGGCTGGAATTGATTTGAGTCAAGAAACCGAAGATCATGATAGATTTAGTCTTCTTCTACCAGGGTATCAATCGGCTTTGATTACAACAATTGCTGCTACAAGTAAAAAGCCCATAGTTTTAGTTTTGACAGGTGGTGGGCCCCTTGATGTTTCTTTTGCTCAAGGGGACCCACGGATTGCTAGCATTATTTGGGTCGGGTACCCGGGTGAAGGTGGTGGTGCTGCTCTTGCTCAAATTGTGTTTGGAGATCATAATCCTGGTTAGTATTTCCACATTTTGTTAAGTTTTTTTTATTATTATAATATTGTGGTTTGATAATTTTATATATATTTATAAATAGAAAGTGATTTTTCATGAAAATAATTGAAAGAAGAATGGTATAAATATAAGTGGGTAGTTTTTCAATGTACAATGTTTTCATAAGTGAACAATTGAAAGTAGGATGTTATCATATGTGCAAATAACTAAGAATATGTTGCTATTTATTGTAGGGTTGATCTCAAAGAAAAAAAACGTTATATTTTATGTTTTTTTCCGGATTAAACCTTGATTTTATTTATTTCTTGAAAACGACCTTGTATTTTTTCATTTTTTTTTCGATCTGGACCTTTTAGTCATTTTTGTCCAAAAAACTTGTAAAATGCGAGGGTTTTTTCGGAAAAACTAAAAAGGTTGAGGTTTTTTCGGAAACAGTTAGAAGATTGAGGGTTTTTTCAGAAAAACATTAAAAACATACAAGGTATTTTTCAAGAAAAAAAAGACAAACGGGTAGATTTTTCAAAGTATAATGTCAAATAAATGAAATGGTTAATCTCATAAAAGACCTTATATATATTTTGTGTTTTTTTTTTTTCCAGATTAAACCTCAACTTTATTTTTTTCTTGAAAAAGACCTTGTATTTTTTTCATTTTTTCCGATCCAGACCTTTTAGTAATTTTATTTTCTGAATGAACTTGTAAAAATGCAAGGGTTTTTTTTTGGAAAAACTAAAAAAGTTGACGTTTTTCGGAAATAGTTAGAAGATCGTGGGTTTTCTCCGGAAAAATAGACAAAGTTAGAGGGTTTTTCCGGAAAAATTAAAAAAATACAAGGTCTTTTTCAGAAAAAATAAAAAAACGGGTAGATTTTCAAAGTACAATCACCACCTTAATAAAAAAAAAAAAACAATTAAAAGAACAATGATCTAATCGAAATAAACAAAAGCCTAGAATGATATAATAATGTTGAATTAATAAATACAAATACACACAGAAAGAGAGATGAAAGTAGATTGCTATTTCTTACAGGTGGAAAACTACCCGTGACATGGTACCCACAATCCTTCACAAGCGTACCAATGAACGACATGCACATGAGACCCAATCTTTCTCATAATTATCCCGGAAGAACATATCGTTTCTACACGGGTCCCACAGTTTACAAATTCGGACACGGACTAAGTTACTCAAATTACACCTACAACATCCTCTCACCACCCACCAAATCCATTCTTCATGTTTTCAATTCACAAAAAACCAACATATTACAACAAACCATAGGCTCTTCCAACTATCTTTACGTCGATAAAATCCAACAACATTGTGATTCTTTAAGATTCCCAATTCAAATCTCAATCACAAATCATGGCCCATTTGATGGAAGCACAGTTGTGATGTTGTTTGCACAAGTCCCCAAGGGTTTTGAACAAGGCGCACCATTGAAACAACTTGTGGAGTTTGAACGTGTGCATACGCTTTCTTATTTGGATACAAAATTACGGATTCTTGTGGATCCGTGTAAGCATCTTAGCATTGTTGATGAGTTTGGGAAGATGATATTGCCTTTGGGTGATCATACACTTTTGCTAGATGATTTACAACATATTGTTTCCATTGTTATGTGATCGGAAGATAAAAAAAAAAAAAAAGAGGGGAAAAAAAGAGATTAGAGATGTGTTTTAATGGCAATGTGAGTATGTCACAACATTGTGTACAATATTGTAATAGTATTGAGATAATGATGAGAAACATAAACAACAAAATAGCAGAATGGAAGAAATAAAGTATGTTTTTTTTTTTTTTTTTAATTAATTTGTGTTTTCTGGTATTCTAATTTTATATTGTTCTATTATGATTGCTAGTGTATATTTCGGTATTGCTTTTAAAGTGTATATTTCGAGTGTTCTTGTGATTCTAATAGATATTTTTCATGGAATTAGCAAGTGAAAGGAACAAAATTGAGTGGTCTCAAGTTTGAGCATCATTTTTACCATTCTTTCTATTTTTACAAGACTTTTATATGACATGCCATGCCAACAAAAAAAAAAGCCCGGGAAAAAAGTAAAACGAGTAAAATAAACAAACAAGTTGTATAAAAACAGTATGGGGTACAAATTTATTTTTCAAAAAAAAAAAAGAACAAAAATATATTTAGGGTAAAACCGTAAAAACTTTGCAAACGTAAGGGTTTTTGTGAGTTTCACTTTAAGGAACAAGTGAAAGGGGTAAAAGGGTAAATATAAAAACGTTAATGAAAATTTCAGAGTAAACCCTACAAAAACACAAAAATGGTAAAACATCTTTAAACTAAAAAAAATATAAAGGTTTTTATTGACAGTATTCCATTAGATTATTTCCTGGATATTTTATTATCTTTCTTGATGATTATATTTCAAATGATATTATTTTATGAATCACCTTTCGTAGTTACAAAATATTTACATTATTTTCCCTCCCTATGGCTTACACATATTTTTCAAAAATCATAAAGGTACTCTATGATGATAATGTACACTAAGGGGGTGTTTGGCTTAGCTTTTCAGGGGGCAAAAGTTTTTTTTGGAAAAATCACAAAAAGTCAGGTTTTCCTGATTTTTCCAAAAAGTTCATTTTTTACTTGTATCCAAATCCAAAAGTAGCTTTTAAAGTGCACTTGCCAAACATCTTTTGCTTTTTATCTTTTCCTAAAAGATCTTTTGACTTCTAAAAAGCTAAGCCAAACACCCCCTAAGTCTTCTCTCATTTTCTTTTGACGTCATTTGGGTATTGTGTGCATGACAATATTCATCCCCATACATTTCTTAAATTAAAGGGTCTTGTTTATAGGAAACATATAGAAAAAATAGAATTGTTTCGACTTAGGTAATTTTTATAATTGTTTATACCATCAATCATCATCCAACGTCAACCATTCAAAACAAATCACCATATCAACCACTACAAAAGCCCTCATATTCGGTTGATGATCGGTTTATCGAGTAAAAACCTAAATATGTAAACAGTTAAAAGTTTTTTGGGCTTATTTGCTAAAAAAAATATTATAACTTAATTGAATATGATGTCAAAAAACCTAAATATGTAAACAATTACAAGCTTTTTGGGCTTATTTGCTAAAAAAATAATATTATGATTTTTTGAAGATTTCTCTATTTTATATGATAGCAAAATATCTTTTTTAAAAGATTATATTTTTGGATTATCTTATGTGGTGGCCAAAAACTTTATATTTGTATGATTAAAATGTGCATGCGAAGATAGAAGAGAAAGAAAAGAAAGCAAGAGAGTTTATTAAGGATATTATAGTTTTTTTTATCTCAAAAAAATCATAAGGAGTTGGAAGAAGTTAGGAGATTGATATTTTGACAACTCTTGATTAGGGGTGTGGAGCCATTTTAAAAGGGTGATCATCCGTACATAACACTTTATAGTCATATATAACAAATTATACTTTATACACGTGTACAATACAATTATGTAAAACATAAATGTTGTGCATGGCAAAAAAATATTATGTACAAATCATTATCCATTTTGAAAAGTCATTTTCATCATCCAAACACATACTTTAGTTTATTGACTTCTTAAGAAATCAATAAGTCATTTTAAGGCAAGAGGGAGTGCCCGCGGTCTCATACCGCGGTTTTGCCACATGGACCAAGAACATCGCCTCCTGGGTGCGGTCAAACGCGGTTTAGGCCACAATGTGGTGAGAAACAACCACATATTTTGATTGGTTGGTGCTCCTTTTGACCGTTCAACGGTCATTGTGTTTAGAAATTATTATTATTTTTTTAAATTTACCCTATATATACTTAACATTTTTTAGAAAATCCTCACTCAAATTCCTTATCATTTTAACATCTTTTCTTCAAATATTTTCAAAATGTCTTCTTCCAAAAGGCCTACCAATGAAAAAACACCCGTTAGAAACACCACAACCTCAATACCTTCATTTGATCAACCGATTTTTCGCCTCCGTATTACCACTATGGCAGTATGCTTTCGTATTTTCCACAACGACCAACACAACTACTACCACAAACACTACCACAGCCCGACTCATATTTTAATCCATTTGATTTTTTTTTTTATCTCAACCTGAGTTTGTTCAACAAACACAAACACAACCACATACGGTCGTTTCTGAGTCCGAACCGGAATTCGTTGAAGAAACTTAGCCCACTCGAGCAGCAACTAAAAGAAAAGAGAAGGCGTAGGCTAAAGGTTAGGAACCCCTAGAAGTGTTAGTGTTGGCACACTCATGGATCGATATTTCAAAAGATGCGACGATTGAAAAAGACCAAAAGTATGACCGTTTTTGGATTCAGGTTTTACATATATTTCATAAAGGAATGAACCGTGGAGAGTACTGTTCAAAACATCAAGTGTACTCGAAATGGGGGAAGATGAACAAGGAAATCATGATGTTTAATGATTTGTATACCAACATGATACGTCAATGGAGAAGTGGAGAAAGTGATGATGTGATTTTGCGGAAAGCACTGAAAGTGTATAAAAAAGAAAACGTGAAGGCTTTCAAGTTTCTTAAAGTTTGGAATTTTGTGAAAAGATAACAAGAAATCACAAAACAGCAAAACATCAGACAAGCATATCGACCGTGGTTCAAAACGCAGGAAAATATTTGAGTCCGACCACACTACATCAGATGCTCGTGTTCAATTCGATCTGAACGAAGATGAACCCGTTCCAGTTTCACCACCTTCCCGACCAATGGGAAGAGACAAAGCAAAAAAGAAAAAATAAATGCAAAACGTAGGATTCAGATGAGTTGAAAGAAATGGGGGCCGATATAAAGGGTATAAAAGATAGATAGGACAAGATTTTGCAAATTGCTTTTGAAAGAGAGCTTCGGAAACAAATGGACAACGACATGAGAGTACTAGCAGTGGACACGTCGAATATGACCGGAGACGAGTTTCAAGTTATTTTGGCAATGAAGGAGGAAGTGAAAAAACATTACGCTAATCGTGGCTGATTTCTAGTTTTTTTTTTTTCAAAAGTTTTTAATCGCTTTGTGTGTTTTTATTTATTTAAATAAAATTGTAGGTTTTATGTTTCTAATTTGCTTTTCTAAATTTTTTGTTTTTTTTTTGTTTTTTTAAAGTTATGCAACGTATGATATTTTTATTTTTAATTAATGAAATATTACCATTTAAAAAAAATTATTCATTAAAAAAATAAAAACTAAATAAATAAACCCAAATATGACACCACTCCTTGGGTGTGAAAACAAACCACACTATTGTGGTAAAAACACATGTAGCGCCTATGTGACAGTGTGGCAAATTAAGAGAGTGTGACACCACTCCCTCCAGCCTAAAATGCACCATTAAACACCCCTTACTTTCTCTACCAAATTGTTGCTTCAGTTAATGGTTTTTACCGATAGGGGCTTTGTCCTCCTACCTCCAGATTTTGTCGTGTCTTGTTTAAGATGAAACTCACGCTCTATATAGAAATTATACTATGCACCCCTAGCTTCTATTAGATCATAGTATTTATAGTTATCATATTTATTCCGGTTAAAATCACCTAACATAGGGATGACAAAAAAAACCGTACCTGGCGGGGAAACCCGATTCCCGAAGTTTTCAGGTCGGGTCGAGTCACTCTTATCGGGTATTGGGTATTTTTTTCGGGTACAGGTTAGGGAGTGGGTTGTGTCTGCCCCGCCACGAATATATATATATATATATATATATATATATATATATATATATATATATATATATATATATTTATATATATATATATATATATATATATATATATATATATATCCGGTAAGAATTTTTTTTTTGTAGGAAGGTAAAAAGTTTTTTTTCTACATATTTTTTTGACGAACAAAATAAATGAATCACTAGATGATTCATTTGTAAGATGATTCATAAGAAAAATTCCCAAAAAAACATTTTTACGATTCATTTTTAAGTAAATTAAGAAAAAAATCATTTTTATGATAATTTTAGTGAATAACAACAAAATCATTGTATAAATGAATCATCGATCGAGATGTCTTTTTGAGAATTTTTTCTTGTGAATCATCTTACAAATGAATCATCTAATGATTCATTTTGTTTATTCTCGAAAAAAAATATGTAGAAAAAAACTTCTTACCTTCCTACAAAAAATTTCCTTCTTATTTGATCTTGATTATATATATATATATATATATATATATATATATATATATATATATATATATATATATATATATATATATAATAAGGTGAATTTCATCTATATCCTTATAAATTTTAAATATTACTTATATATCCTTATAAACTTTAAAATTACATATATATCCTTTTCAAACTATAAACGCACATTTATATCCAAACTTTTAACTTAATTAGATTTAAATTAATTTAATTTAAAAAAAAACATATCTAAATATCAAAATACCCTTTTCTAAATTAAAAATTAGAATTAAATCTAATTAAAAAGTTCATACGCCTCATTTCTTCGTCGTTGCAAGGTGCAAGCTATGAAGATTATCAACTGTATTTGATATTGCCCTACCCAAGATGGAGGCCTTTGGGTTTAAAGACTCCAAAATCTTCATTTTCCATTTGTTCTTTTAAATGTGTGGAAGGAATAAAATATAAATAACACAGTAAATCAATGAAACACAACAGCTACTTTGTTTTTTTATTTGGTTTCTATTACT